GTGGTGCTGGCTTTATTCCGAATAGCCATGACATCTGAGTAATTTATACTAGAATGTGGAAAAACGACAAAGAGTTAACCAACACTTCCAACTATTATGCGGACAAACCGAATAATACAAAGGAACAAACAGTGATAGAGCAGATTTATTAGAAAAAATTGCACTATAATTTGGAAAAAGTCAAAACCGTTCCCTGGTAATGAAATATTATTGAGAAGATGCCAACAACTACATCGAAGGAATCGATTGTTTTCTTAGCTCGTTGAAAACCTCAAAGAAAAGAAACCACAGAAGATGAACCTGGATCGATACTCAGATGTTTAGTCCAATCGATTTTATTTACAAGTTTGAGGCGTGTACCAATCTCTGCATAACAATGGAGGAACCCAAGCGATCTGCTATGAAAGGAACCAAGAGAGGGTTAGTTGCAGTTTGAAAGGTCCCGTTTTTTAATTCCAGTACAATGCAAAAGAATAGACAAGTCATGAGGACAAGTTTTCAATAACAGCTAGTAAGTAGTCCTTGTCAGGAGCAATCATAATCTCATTCTTCTTAGTACGAAGACGAAGGAACGTCAAATCGTTGGATCCATCCAGTTCTCTGATGACACCTTTTGACTTTTCGCAAAGCTGTTGAAGGAGAGCTGTATGTCGTGCTGTTGATTCATCGTCCAACGTTGAACGAATAGCTCGACCTGTGAAACGTTGCTGTAAGACACAATTCCGTCATTTCAATGGATAACGAGCTCGAAAAAACAAGAGCGAAACAACTGGAAGAATTTATTTGATTGAAAAATACAAAAATTGATGGCAATTACGATAACCTAAGGGGCTAAAAGAGGAACCATTTTGTGTTAGGGGGAAATCAGACGCAAACCGCGCAGCCGCTTTCACTTAACTTTGCTTATGGAAGCTATATAGAGACAAATAGCTGATGGTACCTTTGAACGTACTTTATACAATTTTCATAAACCAAATTAAAGGGAAGAAACATTTGTTAAAAATACAAATTTTCCAAATACCAATTCTGGTGATAAGCTAACTTTGAGCACAAAGTCACTTCGTTTTCTGCCCCTAGTAAGTTCTATGCACTGATGGTGCCTCTTCAACAGATTTTTTTTCAAAAATGATCACGCATTTTGTAACTCATTGGGTACGAATGGAGCACAGAAGCGATTTAAGAGAGAGGTTGTGAATGATCACGAAGACTCTATAGAGCTACACCTTTGGATGTGTAAAAACAAAAAAGAAACCTTTCCGTATGAAAGCGTACGATGAGCATCCACAAAAACCGAAATATAAGAGGCATATTCATAGTAAGTAGGTTTTCACTGGAATAAGTGCGTTCTGATGCATACATCTGCACAAAAACGCACCTATTATGAGTACTTTCGTATAAGTGATCAGGATGTAAAAGGACGGATAGATACTCGGGAGTGTGTTTCTGCAAGTGCTGCATCCTTACCAATTTTACAGCGACTCAAGATCGCTTTGGAAACGTCAAAATAAATTTAAACATCAAATTCCGTAAGTTGTAGAGCACAACCAAAGGAAGGGATTTTTACACCAATGCTCCCTAACAAGATCAAGCCTTACTTACCAGC